TTCGGACATTTGTCTGAAAAGGCCTTTTGGAGACTTTTTTACAACTATCGGGCTCAAAGACACAAAAACACGTGCATTAATTAATTTGTCAGGTGAATTCGATCAAAGTCAGAAATGGTAATGGAAATGGAAATGGAAAACGGAGCCAAGGCAAAAACTGTTATGCATAGTTTTCAACATATCTGACAGCCCTAAAACTTGCAATGAGCAAGTGGTGGCAACCCTAGAGTGAACCATGGCAACCAACAAAGGGAAACAACAAAAATGTAGCTTTTTCTGTAGACCCCACTGGAGTTTACAGCTTTATTTTTATCCAAGGGTGGCAACCCTAGACGGAGCCACCCCCCCCTGGAAGAGGCACAACACATGAGCGTTAATCAGATAATACTCTGTTTTTGGAGCCCAGCCAAACTGAAGTCAGATGTACGAAGCGGGCAGTGAGCAAATCAATTGCAACGGCGCTCTCATAGAACTGCCCTCGCTGCAGGTAGTAAAACCAGGTGAGGGTGATAGAGACAGTGCCCCCCCCGGAGAGTGGACAATCTGCTGACGACAATCTTCAATTAGCGCCCAAAATGCCAACAGACGCAAACATCGATTGGCTGCTCCACATTTATTTCACACGCCGCCAATTCGAAAGATGCCGCCGACTCATCGCGCGTGAGCTGAATCGTCATTTGAATGCGGAGTACCTGTACTTTCCCCCCCCGAGTGCCTGACTTCGACCGAAATTATATTGAACTACTCACTCACGTTGATCCACCCCAGGGCCTAATTGACCGCGAAGCTGGCAATAACATCGAGGCGCTGCGCAACCTTCAAAGGGCAGCCGAGCTGAACTCCAAAAATATTGAGAACTTTAAGGAAATCGGAAGGACTCTGTAGGTCAACCACACTGGCCAACATGGCTATGCATGCAGTTTCAGTGTAGACTTGGGCTGCCCCCCCCTAGAATAATGTGGAAAGGAAGATGTTCCATGCTTAAGTATCCTCCATTTATGCGAGATGTTCCTGAAGAGTATATAGGTTTCTTCCGCTCTTCTTTCCACTACTTTTAGATCACGTCTTTTATCACATTGGTATCATTGGGTCCAAGTTATAAGAAAACATTCTCTCTTTCTTCTCCCTCTCTCTCTCTCTGTCCAGCTACCTTATGGGTCGCTACAATCAAGCACTCAGCGTATTTCGGGATGCCGAACAGCAGAGTCCTCGACCGGATCACGAGATCTTTCATTACCTGGGCGAGCTGCTCTATCGCTCAGCCGCCACACAGCCCCAACTGGAGGCAGCGCGACAGCAGCAAAAGGAAGCGCGAGAGTACTTCGAGCGGGCCGTGCAGACGGGCAAGAAACAGGAGAGCTACATTCGACTGGCCGAGCTCTACCGCAAGGAGAAGGAGTACCAGAAGGCCATCGATGTGCTCGAGGCCTGTCTGCAGTTAGTACAAGTCTCAAGTCTATTTACTTCATATTTCTCATTCTCATTTGCATCTCAGTCTCACGCCGGAGAATGTGGAAGTGCTGACAGAAATCAGCGTGCTCTACTTGAAAATCAATGAAACGCAAAGGGCGTTTGATCGCTTGGCTGAAATTGTGAATTTCGCAGGAAACTGCGAGCCGAAAGGTTTGCTGGCCCTGGGCGCCATTTTACAGGTGAGCAGTTGATTGGCAGCACCTGCTCGCTCGAATTTCACGATTTGCGACACCTTCGACAGTCGCGCAACGATGTGGACGGCGCCTTAAGCAAATACAGCCAAATCGCAGATGCCGAGCCGGAAATTGCAGAGCTCTGGAACAACATTGGTCTGTGCTTCTTCAAAAAGCAAAAGTTCATTGTGGTAAGCAGAGAGAGTGAGAGACAGAAAGAGAGAGAGAGAGTTACTTGATTTGTTCCCCAGGCGATTTCATCTTTGCGCAAATCGATTTGGCTCTCACCGCTCAACTACAATGCGCTCTACAATCTAAGCCTCATATACATTGCCTGTGAGTATTGCCTATGAAGGGTAGTTGACTATTGAAATACCCTGTAACTAAACGATAAGAGTGTAAGCAGTACGACTATAGAGGACTACCTCTTCTAATATTTACTATCCTCCTTTTATGTGATACTTCGTAAAATCAACTGGGCCCAAGGTTTTCCTATTTCCCCCTTACAAACTCAGGCTCTATCAACATCACAATTACGATACAATAATTACAGCACCGTCTTCCTTCCGCAAGCAGAGCCCGGATTTCAGAGTTTCCCGCCCCCTCTTTGCCTATACAAAGTCCTTAATACTCAATACAATACAATTTATATTAATTTCCTATTGGCCTATATTGGTCTGTAGGTCTTCTTCCAAACATAGACTTCACATTACAGTTAATATTATATTTATACACAAAATAATGATTTATATATTTGCATTGAAAGGTTTCTTTCCGTCCTTCCATGCAGGCGTCATTCCTTAGCTGCTAGGCAGAAAATTGTAGTCTTTTTATGGCATTTGACCTTCAAATTACAATTAGTGTAATACTCATATTGATTATATTTGGACAGCCAACAAAGTCTTGGCTGCTCTTCTGCCCCTCTGCGCCGCCAAGACCATCGCTTCCATAGGAAACAAGCCCACTCAATAAAAGCAACGCCTAACAAAAATAATGAGCCTTTGGGAGAGACCTTTCATAAATGTCAAAAACAACGCAAAAATAAAGGAAACGAGCAACATAAAAAACAATTGACAGGTCCTTGAAATATTTTCGCTTTTTATGCTCATTGTTGTTCCCGTTCTCCTTTCTCCTTCCCCGCCTCCTTGTTGTTGTTGTCTAGCAGTATGTTTTTGTTATTGCTTTCTTTTTAATATTTAATGTTGACGTGACCCCTCGACTGTCAAACAGCGGAACAATATGCGAGCGCCTTTCACACTTTGGCCGCAGCCATCAACCTACGCAAGGACAATGCCGAGTGCTATATGCTCCTGGGCTGTAAGTGCTCAACAGAAAGTCAGTCAATGAAATGGGAATACCCTCTCTCCCTCTCTCTCTCTCACTTTCTCTTAGTGTGCCTGCGCAAACTGGACGACATGGAGAATGCGTTTGTGGCTCTCGAGCGTGCCTGCAGCCTGGCCAGCGGCAATATGCGACATCCGCTGGTGTTCCTCAACTTTGCGCTCTTCTGCTTTGAGACCGGGCGCCTGGCCTTGGCCACCGAGCACTACAACCGCTTCATGAGTCACGCTCAGGATTTATTGCTGCCCACTGAAGTAAGTCGCGTGCTCTATCAGCGTGCCCAATGGCTCCTGGCCAGGTCATTTGATTAGCACATTTTGTTCTGATCCTCTTTTCTCTCTTCCTCCTGAATTACTGTACTCCATTGCTTCATACCCATTACCCTTCTAACTCCCTTCTTTTTACCTCCTCGTTCTCCTCTAACCTCCTCCCATATCTTCAACTTATCTGCTTCTGCTCCTTTCACTTCTTTTGTCCTATTAACAGCTCTGTTATCTTACAACCCTCATATTATTTTAATTACCTTCTCGCTTACCTTCTCTCCCTCTTCCTCCTCCTTCATATACCACAACTTGTTTCTACTCCCTCCAATTCTTCATCCTTTTTTAGAACTCAAGCCACAAATATTTCACATCAGCCGCATTTCTGTAGCTTTTCTACTGTCATATAAAAAAAGTCCTAAAAATTAATTAAACCGAAATGAAAGTTGGAAAATTTATCGAAACAAGAAGAAAACATTTAATTGGCTTAACAGATTGGATAAATAATCAGGTAAATTAGGGAAACTTTTGAAAGTAGGATGAGGCATATTATTAATATATTATAGGTGGGGTCGAGCAGAAAGTATGTGAAGCATAGATTGTGATCTTTAAAGAAGAAATTGCAATACCAAATCATTTTCTATCTTTAGACACCAGAGACAGAGAGAGGGAGAAACACTCTTAGGGATTGTTTGTAATCATTGAATTTGTATAAGGCTTTATTGCAATTCCATCAATATATAAGTCCCGCTGCTTGTTCAGTATAAATTCCAGGCCACAAAACTAAAGTCGCTGCTGCGCATCTCGACGCACAGCCAGGGTATACTAGGCGATGGCGACGACTCCATGCGAGCAGGAGACGCGGATGCAGCCAACCGGGATGTGTTGCAGGATGAGCTACCGCTAGAAGTGAATGCTGTGGTCAGCACTGGCAATTGAAAAGAGAAAACAATAAGGAGAGTGAGAGAGAGAACTGAAATAATTAACTCACATCGAACATTTATTTGAAACTTGTTCAAAATTGAAATCAAAAAGCGTGAAAACAAATGCGTGCGATTTGAAGCCAATGCAAATACATTAGCCACGCGACCTTAAAGCTACATTTGTAATTAAATCTACTTAATATATCTATATAGTATACATATATATTTACATATTCATATGCTGGTATCATAATATTAATGAATTGTGTGTACTTAATTCTCTTTATAAAGTTCAATTGGAAGAAGAGAACAAAACAGCTCAAGGGGCTCATTTGCTGCTTTGTTCTCTTTAACCAGTTTTTTTTTTTTTTTCATATTTTTAGTTTATAATTTTCAACTCAACTTTAATGCGTATTTAATAATTAGTGTTGAATAATTTTGTTTTTTATTTATCTCCTTACAAATTCTCACTTCGTCACTTTCCATTTCTTAATCTCGTATTTTATACATATTTTAAATTTATTAAATTTATTTTTATTGTATGCATAAAAAATCGTATATAATTCTTAAACGCTAATAAACGCTGGCGTTTCTTATCTCAGAATCATGAATAGTTCAGTTTAGTAAATTAATATTTATTTATATGAATATATATCAATAAATCGATATATATCTATAATACATCTAATTTCAAGCTGTATTAAAAAATTCGTTTCAAAACTCGTTTTATGTGTCTGCTAAATGGAAATGACACTTAATGCCCTACAAAATATGCAACGCGSCGGGTCGACTCGACTCGACGGTTTCTCCTAGTTTTGGTATACCCTAAACGCCCTGGCTCACAGTTTCAGCTGAACTTTTTCAAAGCTCATATCAAAGCGCATCTTTGAGATGCCCCCATAACCAAATTCAATTCGAAATCTCAAGCGAAACATCTGTCATCATCTATGTCTAACTACTTCTCGACCAGCGTCTGTTCAGCCGCTTCTAGACACAGGTGGTGGTCACTCGAGTGAGGCGCGTCATCTCGCTGCTGCCGAAGTGACGCTTGAAGAACAGAGACCGGAACGTGGTGCGAAACTGTTTGGACATGAGTCCGTAGAGCACGAAGCCCACAGCCGCATTGATGAGTGCCAGCAGGTCCATCAGCTCCCCGAAGGGCGGATAGCAATGGGCGAAGAAACACTTCTCCAGCACGCCAGACAACAGGCCCAGCAGACCCTGCGGAAACTCCGTGACCAGGAAGAGTATCAGCACAGCCACCAGGAGGAGAGTGGTTCGATCATTGCGGCGATCACAGCGCGGAGGTCTGCAGAAAGGGGAAACACAAGTCAGACGTCAGACAGAGAGAAGTAAAACGATTAGAAGAAGAGCGAAACACAAATGCATTCAGTAGCATGAAACAAGTAAAATGAAACAAGAAATGAAATGAAAATCAAAGAGATACATACAAATATATTAAGCAAACGAAGAGAAGGAGCGAGTAGAGATGACACTAAATAATGAATATGAGACAGTGGAAAGAAAATAGAAATGGGTAAAATGACTGAAAACATGTAAACAATGATGAATGTGAAACAGTGGAATGGAACTTAACTGAGGCAAACCCAAGGCTGAACTTAAGCCGTGAAACAGCGAAATAGAAATGAAACTTGAAGAAATGGTAAAGGTAAAGGTGAATCAAACAAGCATACTTAGCCCAAAGGGCAAAAGAGAAACGAAAAGTGACGAATTTCATCCCAATTGCTGAACCCATATCAGGTTAAACAAAGCATAAAACAGGTAAGGATGACAGTCAACAATTTTATTCAAATGGTTGAAGCAAAGGAATGAGATGCATGAAGAGAAAATCCAGGCAATCCAATTCAGAAATGGAAAATGGAAAACAGAAATTAAAACTTTGATGAAAGGTGTCTTCAAAAAGAGTGATGCTCGGTTTTGAAACTGAAATCTGCATCATATGATGAAAAGAAATGAAAAGATGATGTTGAGATTGAACTGAGAAGAGGAATTTCTATAAAAATGAACATTTGATGCAAATTGATGAAATATTATTAAATTATTTTACGTACCGCCTAGACTTTGATTCATTGAGATTTAGCTGAATGGCGTATTTGGTGGGATTGTCGTAGTCCTTCAGCTTGAGACGCCTTCGCGAAGCTTCGCACAGAACGTGCATCAGAACCAGACTGATAACGGTTAGAATGAAGCAGGGAAGCAGCTTAATTATCACGGAATGTATCCAAAAGTTGAATCTACAAGAGCAAAGAGAGAAATTTAGAAGGGTATCTGCTGGTCACTCTGAACCAATTCAGCTCAACTCACCTAAATAGCATAGAGTCCGTGTCGAAGTACACATGATACATGGCCTCGTGCTCTTTGGTGTCCATCTCGTGTGTCTCGCGCACCTTGAACACAAAGTACGTGGGCAAACAGAGAATGGGCGAGACGATGAAGGGGAAGAGAATCGCCTCCCTGGAATGTGCGAGCAGAAAATTGGCGCAGCTGCCATTCGGATGTCTGTGGATTAGAGATGGAAATAGTTTGCTATAAAGCAGAAAAACAGAACAGAACAGAACAGAACAGAACCGAAGACAGAAAACAGAGAAAGAGAGAAAGAGAAGCCACATTTTCCGTCATATTATTCAGTTAGCCGGATTCAGCAGGAGTTCAGGGTGGGGACGAGGTGCTAGGGCTAAACATAATCAACGCCACACTTGACACTCACCTGATGGCCACGTAGCGCCAAACAGCCAGGGTAACAGTCAAGCCAATCGAAATCGTGTGCAGAATCTGTGTGAAGTGCATGTGGACCAGCAAATAAACAGCCCATGCGTAGCTCAAATCCTTCTCGCCTGTAAGCGTGTTAGATATTTATTAAATACACAGTTAAATAAAAGAAAAATATGATAAGATTTAAAGAAAAGTGAAAAATAAATTATTGAAATTTAAAAAAGATTTTTAAAGACAATCAAACGTTTCTTGAAATGTATTCAATATTTGCTTCACTCACCTGGCTTCATATAGATGTATTGATATGTCGTATAGGGTATGTACTCGAGCATCACAAACATATCAGCAACTGCCAGCCATTTCAATATGTTGTTAATGGGCGCCTTGGCCATTTCCTTTCTGGTCAACACCATTATGTTTAGTATGTTGGCTATTGTCCCGAATATGCAAATCTTTACGCAGCGGGAAAACCCAAGAATAGTAAAAGGGGAGATAGAAAATAGAAAATAAAAAACTATTAGGCAGGCTAGCGGTAGCTAAGCATAATGGACGGAAAGATGTCCTGTAAATAATAATTATGCGATCCCACTGCCCAACGTAAATCAAGGCGAAAGCCCAAGCAAACGGTGCTTGAGCATGATGAGTGGAACGATGCCCTGCAAATAATAATCATAGGAATTTCCAGCCTAATATAAATTTTGATTTTATTGTGGCTGAAAGAGAGAGTCTTTCTCGAGCTCACACGTTGATACAGACAGAAGTCTATGGCTATATTGCAAATCATGAGCAAGAATCCATTGTAAGTGATTGGCCACATATATATACATTGTTTGCACATCTTCCATAGAGTATCGGGCATAATAATAACCATAAAGCAGTGTCAAAACAAAGCCATGCATGACCATGTCTGTCTAAACATAGTAATAGAAACCTCACACCAACTACACCACAAGCAAAGTAGACCACACACAGCGCACAATATATATGTATTCACACACACACACACGCACACACGGATCCTCTATTTCCTTAAAAGCTTGAACCCTTTCAGTGTAAATTTTTCATACATTTTATTCAAATGGAGATTCACACATGACTTGTCCAAATAATAAATATCACACTTTATTCGCTCACACAATTGAGCAAAGGGGAGAAACGTTCAAGCTAAAAGTTTTATTGCAATATAAATTATTACGAAAATGATTTGATGTAATTATTAATTCCTGTTTGACCAACATATCATTTTGCTTCAGTTCACTTTCTAATACGGCACTCTGAGCACTCATTTGATTTCCTCTTTGTTTGTCAACTTATCAGAAGCAGAAACCTTGAGCCTCTCCTTTGTGTATCATGATGAAATTGTCCACTCTCAAATTTATAAAAAAAGATGAAGAAGGATAATTAAATTTTGAGAATATAATTGAATTAAATTAAAGACTTGCAATTTTGAATATGACTTAGAACAGGACTAACAGGTAAGAAAGAGATAAATGGATAGACTGTTTAGAATTATGGAATACTTGGATAATCTTTATAGCTTCAACAGTCTCATAGCTAGAGTCTAGAACCTAGAAGCCAGAATGTAGCTAGAATTCAGCTATTAGCCTGCTCCAGAGATAGAGCTATAAATCACGCCATTAAGGCGTGCCAAATGGGATTCTCTCCGGCAACTTGAATGTGAACTTTTCTAACTCATTGCTTCAAAGCCTTTCTTAACTACCAATTTAGCATTGTCTTCATGCCGTTGGCTTTTTGTCTAGGAGATGTAAACAAAAAATATTTTTAAAAAGCATCTTATGAATAATGTAAACAGAGAGAAATTCATTTAATCTCCTCTTGTGGTCAGAGCAAAAAATAAATGGAAATTTGGATAAGTTCAAAGGTGCGCGAATTCATCAACGGCGAACAAAGAAAAGGACCTTCTCGGCTAGCAGTTTAAAAGGGTTGACATTGTGACGCAGCGTAAAGGGGGAGATGTATTCCAAATGAAAAATGTTGTGGAACGCGACAGGGCGACACCAAGATAATTAGTTCCCAGTCTTGTTTGTTGTTGCTAATGAGAGGGAAATGCACTGGAACTGGGACTGGGACTGGGACTTGGACTAGAACTGGGACTACTCACCAATAGCGAGACGTAGCCGTGGATGCCATTGTACGCACGCAGCCAGGTGTAGATTTCGCCCTGACAGTAGCCTTGGCATTCGTCCTGTTGCGTTTGATTCTTCTTCTGGAAGTCGAAGAGCAGCTTTACGAAATCCTGAATGTCGCCACGCGTTATCTCCAAGTCCTTGAGCAGCGTCTCATTCAGCGAAACGCTCTCGTCCAGCTGTCTCTGGGCCATGTTTGTCTCCTGCATTGCTAAAATCTATCTCGGCTGGCCACTTAAAGCATGCTGCTCTGCAAAAAGAACAAGAGGGAGGAGGAGAAGAGAATTAAATTGGAAATCAATTCAACCACAAGTATCTTAATTAAGCTAATAAGCTCTGCATTTGCCAGACACATTAGCCCAAATTAACAGCGTATCTCAACATAACAGAGCGAGTCTGTCTAGCCACAAGGGACACAATCGTCGAACTCAATAACCCAAAACGAAACTTGATTTGGCCAAATCAAAAGAACAAAGGAGTGTCAATTGCTCGACCGACAGATACCCAATAAGTTCAACACGCTTTAACAGTTCGAAGTGGACCTTAGATTACTTTAAGACAGCTTTAAGTAGAGCAACTGTAATAGGAAAATCGATAATTATCGATTTTGGGATAAAGAAAAAAATAGCAATAAAATAATATATAATGCAACAAGAGATTAGCAGTGAATATAGAAATACATATGTATATACATACGAGCTGATATACGAATATGCATCTAGAGTTCAGCATACTTTAGTTTATGGGGTCAGAGATACCCACAATTTGGGTGCGATGCCAATAGGGCATAGGAGAACAGTCTCGCCGTGCGCTCTGTGGGTAGGCAATTAGTCTACCAAATCCTATAGAAGGATAGAAGTCGCTGTCGTTCACAGTAGTTTTTCTATAGCCGTATAAGTTTCCATGGGCGTAGCTGTATGTGTGTCCATGTCAGTCTGAATAATCTACGTGGCAATCGTCATTTGACTCTATGTGGTTTGTGTCCATTGCCGAGCGACAGGTGAAAGGCGCAGTGGCAGGGCTCATAGGAATCATCATTTGCATCTTGTTCAGGCAGATGCAAAATTACGAAATTGTGCAGCTGAATGGAACGACGGTAAACTTCATACTTTATGCTACAATGCAGTTCGCATCAATTTTGAAATGCCACAGAGCGCGTTTAAAGGCAACATTAAAGCAGCAGCAGCAGCAGCAGCAGCAGCTGAGCTGGTCAAACAGGCCAACATAATTTAAACGATAATTGATTGAAAATCTAATGCGTGGCGAGGCAGAAGTGCGAAGCCCGAATACGCTTACACTTCACACTAAATTAGGTTTAGGCTTAATGTTTGCTGTAGCCGAGAGACTTTTGCTTGAGGACATAATGGAAATAGAGCAAACACCTGTCGCACCGCTGAGTAGCTGGGCGTAGCAGTTAATTGGCTAACGATATAGATACAACTTTTGCCACGCACACACATTCGTATATATGTACATCTGTGAGATATATATGTATATACCGTTAGTTGATAAACATATTTGCGACATCGTAAATCAGTCAAGTCAGCGAGTTGGCAAATCAAATGTCTCGCCCAAATGTTCAGCCATGTCAACGAAGGTGTTTGCTTGTGGCTAATGGGTTCGACTCCAGCTTCGGCTCACATTTAAATCCTGTTCGGCCTTTCGCAATAGCAATTCAGACTTTGTTTCTCGTGTTTTCTTACTGCCAACAGCTGCACGAGCAAAAATTTTGCTTCAAAATATTTGTTGTTGTTATTGTTGTTGGCAGTTGTCAATTATTCGATTTTGATGGATATGCCAGACACAAGTCAGCAGACAGCCATAGCCAACAGCCAACAGCCAGCAGACAGCAGACAACCGCCATCACACATCACAAACTTCATCAAAAACAACTTTTTGCCTGCGCTAAGAACACAAAATTTGATTATTTATTCAACAGTTTTTGAACCAATTTGCCGGAATGGCCCAAAGCACAAGTGAGCTCGTAAATATGTCCTTTGAGCAGGACTGCACGACTAGAAGATGCCCTGAGCTGAACTGAACAAAGCTGCTGCCTCCATCACTCTAGACTTTTACTTTTAGACATATTATTTCCTCTGCCTATTGAAAACCCAAAATTCTCCGTTTACAGGGAATTATTTGTATATTCATATGTATGTATGTATATTCATATATTTGATCATCAATCACAGCGACCGCAATTCAATATAAAACTGAAATGACATATTAAAGTCAACTGTGACCATAAAAAAGCGAAAATATTTTTTGTCAACACTCTGAAATGAAAGAGGAAAAACATAGAAACACGCATAAAAAAGTGATTTAATTAAATTGGAAAAAAGCGGTATACAAATTGAAATATTTCATGGCACTCAAACTGCCTTATCGCTGCATAAAAAATTTAGCCTAAAGCGCAAAAAATTGAGATTTAATACGATGTTAATAATGCGATTATGACACTGTGATAAGCCAGACACGACAACTACAGTGTCACTGAAAGTGGGAAAATAAACAATTAAGCAAAGGTCTAGATAGGGTTGAGGGGATATTACACATTATATTTTTATACAGAAATGCACAGAGAAAATACCCGACCAGGAGATACCCTGCACCAATAATACTAAGTTTGGAGATCGTAGCTTCACAGACATAAGAAATATGAGCGAATGAGTGAAGCTTGATAAGAACTGCTTTAATAGAAGCTGGAATCATCGATTGATTTTTGTAAACTAAATAATTAAATGTCTTTAAGCTGAACGAATAGCAGTACTATATCCACTCTTCACTTGATCCTGATTAAGAATATACACATTGTATACTTTACATTCTATTGTCTCTGATATTTCTATGTCTAAATAATTTTTTTTTTATTTTAAAATTTGTAGCTGAAGGCATTTAAACAATTTAATATATCAATTGATTTTTTTTTTAATTATCTCTGCTCTTCTTCTTGTATTTCTCTTTTATTTACATAAGATAATTTTTTTTGAATAGTTCTTGAAGAAAAACAATAACTTATTTAATTAGTTTTTTCCACAGTTTTTTTTTAACTGAGAGTGCAAAGTTTGTTTGTTTTTTTTTCTGTATTTTTCGCCCAACGTTTTTTTTCGGCGGTAAATGCTAAAGGAAATGGAATAGGCGCTCGTGTGAGACACACACATTTTTTTTCGCACCCACACACTTACACACTTGAGCTAAATGGCGCCAAGTGTGAGCTTTAGATAAACGCCATACGGATTTTCTTTATTTTCTTTTTCATTTCTTTTTTTTTTTTTGCAGCTTTTTTTTGCTGTTCTGCTGTTAATTAATGTTCCGTTACGCACACGCATACATGGAAACTGACAAGCTGCGTGCATGTGTGTGCTGATGCTCGTTGACAAAATGAAAGCGGGTATATTGATTGTTTGTTTTGACTTAAATGAAGCTACAGCTTGACATGGTCTGAAAAGCTGTGAATTTAGTTACAAATAAATAATATACTGCACTTAATTATTTGCTTACTATTGAGTGCTTCCATATTAATTTAAGAGTTCTTCCTTATTACCAGCTTTAGTTATTTTTCAGCACGATAGCACGATAAAGTATCCTGCAGTCGGTATTCCCTCATGCTCTCCCACAATGTGCTTGCTGTTTTTATTGGTCTATAACCATAAGCATTTTTTGTCTCTTGTCTCCTGTCTCTGGCCTGTTATCAGGCAGCTGCTGGCATATTCATACACACACACATACATACATACATGGCATATAATGCGGCAGTCCCGCAGCGTCAATTGCTTTAACGATTCCTCAGCGCAGTTGCGAACCATTAAAATGTAATTATACTGGAAAATAAAACAAAGTTTATGCACATACATATAGCACTGCAAATTAGTGGGAGAGACAATGGAAATGCAGGTGAAGGACCCAAAATGGAATTCAATTTCGCTTTCACAGCTGCAACAGGCAAAAGACAACAAAATGCCGAATGCCGAATGCCAAATGGTTTTTTGCAAATTGCACAGATTTCGATTTAAAGAGCCATGAAAAATGGAATTGAATAGAAATTTATTGGCCAAATTTATCAGCGAGCGGCGAGCAACGCCCCACAGCACCAGCAAAAGCAAAGGCACCAAATGCTTTACACAAATTAAGACATATAAATTTAACGCTTGAATGGCGGACAAATTGCCATTTGGCTGCATAAAGTATTTCGCTTTAAGCGCTAAACATTCTGATTTTACGTCATGATAATTTTTGAGATCATAAAACTCATGCCAAACAAAGCAAATGCTTTCAAGCTTTAAATTTAAATAGGTCATCTTTTTATACAGATTAAGAGCTAATTAGAGCCTACAATTATGTGATTATGCAATTTATAGCAAAGAACTTTTCAATTAATTTATCCAGCTTAAACACATTAAAGAAGACCCAAAGTTTAACACAGTTAAAGTTAAAAAAAAATTTAAAGAATACAAAGCAAATAAGTTTTCAATTCAATCCTTGCGAATTATTTTGCCAGATGATTATGGAAATTTTGAGTGCAGCTTAAACTTTGGCTAACTAATAAATATTAAAGTATTAAAAAATCAAAAATGTATTCATTTAAATTGCATATTGCTAATTGGACAGATTAAACATTTCGGTTTACCACACTTATTTATTGCTACGGAATAATGTTTTATATAACAACAAAAAGCATTTCGATTGTTATCAATTATGCAAACAACAATGAATTTATCGCAAAATTATTAAATATCTGAGCTCAACAATTATTCATATGCAACAATGGTAATTCTCTTGTAAAGATTAACTTGATCCGCTCACATTACAAATTATTATTTGTATGCACACTCAAACTGAGTGGCTTACATGGTGCGGGCACATACATATGTACATAAATAAATAAATATATATGCATCAGTATATATCCATATATACTTATGCGTCTGTCACTCTCAATCGCACGCACAACTCGTTTGCAACAATTTCGACTTGATGTGGGCATTTTTACTTACTTTGCTGACTGACGAATGTGCGTGTTTTCCTATTTTACAATACCCTGTACAGAGTAGGAAATGCGTATGCAGGGCTTATTAGTTTGCAGGCAATGGTACCTCCAAGACAAAACAAAGAAGATGGCGGCCAGGATTAATAAACAGTTATATATCGATAAATATCGACTTGGGTCTTAAATACAACTTCAAGACTTATAAAATGGTGTATATGATTACTCATAGTGCAAGAGACTCCGCTATACTGAGACAACAGCTCTAAGCCATGTCAGGATATCTGCTAGTCGAGCACTCCCCACTGGAGCACTCGCAGTTGTTTTTCTTCTACTTCTTTAGTTGCCTCTAAATAGCTTTTGCCTAATGAGTGCGTTTGACTTAGTTTTGAGTGAGTTTCGATCAGCCGAAAAAAATTGTATAAATAAACAGATTCTGATCACAAATTTCGTTAGTCGATATTTAGACACAGTGCAGTGCAGTGCATAAAGTCACATAAGAGCCAATTCAAACCAAAATTTTAACATTATGAAATTCACTGTAAGTTGAAGCTTGAACTTGAGGCAATCAATAGAAAGAGAAAAAGTTAGCGACGAGCAAAAAGTTCACAAAAGTTCAGACAACAGTTTAAAAAAACTTTCCACCAGAAACAAACTTTTATTAGACTATCTGAATAGAGTTTGCTTTGATTGATGTCTGATGGGGTGTTGATAAAGTGTTCAGGAAGAATATGAAACAAAGTGTGTGTTGGCCACACCAAATGGGTACAACTATAAACAAGTTTTGGACAGATTGATGAAAAATTGATAAGAATTAAATGAAAAGAGTTTCAGGTAAGCTGCTTACAAATGCAGCAGCAGTTTTAAGTTTTAAGTGTAAAAGGCAGAAAAGTAGAAACAAGCCAAGTTGAATTAGCCATCCGTTTGTCTGCCCGCAATAGAATATGAATCTCGTATAGCACAAAATCCAGATTCATTAGACATACATATATTTTCCGATCAATCTTCCTCTTTGCTTATAATCGATAATAATCGATTCTTTCGTGTGTAAAGTGAACGTGAGTGCGTATATGTGTCTGAGTTGTTGTCAGTTATAAAAATATCCTGGAAACAGAATCTGCAAATGAATATTTATGATGTGCGTAGCAATTATTTCTACACCTAAATTAGAACAACATAAATCTGTCAAAAATCTTGCAATCTTACTTCGCCTAATGAAATATAAATAATAGATGAGCAAAGTCGAGGAATTTCTATTCTATTCTAAAGCTGTCAAAGCTGTTTAAAAAATAAGCTCAGAAATAAGCAAATTTCTTGCATAAATCATTGAGTCGAGGCAGTCACTTTCCACAGGAGTTCAGCTCATGCTGGCCAGACCCATTTGTTATTACTGCAAAGAGAGTGGGCAATCGCACTGACTGACAGAGAGACAGACGGACAGAAGGAGAGGCGGGCGGACAAACGGACAGACTGGCAATAAGTAGGAAAATTTCACTATTTAAGATATTCTTGTTATTTTTCTCTATTTTTGCTTTCCGCATGTCTTCCTTCCGTGCGATTCGACGATTCCTGCGTAAACAAAAACCCAATACGAAATGCAAATGGGGCTCTGTAGTTAATATTGTTGATTGCTGGCATCGCATGCAGCCTGGCCGCACCCGTCGCCGATGAGCAGCAGCAGCAGCAACAGGAGCAGGTTGAGTCGTCGGCCAAGGCCAAGCGTGGCATTTCTTTGGGTCTCGGCTATCACGCGCCCCTGTTAACCCACTCGCATTATGTGGCAGCACCCACTATCGTGCATCATGCGCCATTGATTTCGCATGCACCGCTCATCTCTCATGCACCGCTCATTGCGCACCCGGTCTCGTCGATCTCCTACCATCTGCCCACCTACCAATCCATTCATCACTTCTGAGCGCCATCAGCGACCTGAAGCATCAAGGAGCATCATGGCGCAACAGCTGCAGCATCCAGTCAGCACGTTCATTTCATTTCGTTTGCCCACAGATAAAATTATCTTCTAGTATTTCCCCATCCAAGCAGCCTTTAATGTTCAGCCCTTTCTTTATTTTGCTTTTGTAAATAAATATGCTCAAAAAGTTTTCTTCTGCATTTAAAACAAGCGAAATATCTTCAGTCAAAAGTTTTGCAAGCAACAAATCTGACAACAAAGCTTGTCAGAGTGGAAAACAGGGCCAAACACAACTTGTTGCTACACTCAGAGAAAAAAGTGAATGACTTGAAGTTAAATGATTTTCTTTTACAGTTAGCTGCCATTGTTACTAATATCATAATACGAATTTTTCTAGCTCTAGTTTTTTATAATTGCTGAAATTTAGTTTCTCCAAATTTCCTTTATATTTTACTTACTTTCGTAAAATTAATGTACCACAATTAATAAAGTAAATATGTAATATCAAAACTCTAAATGTTGCATTCCAAGAATCAAGTGTCTCAAGTTTTTCTCTGAATGCTTAGAGCTGTATATTTCTAGCAACCGGTGCAGTTAAATGCAATTCTCTGCAGGCTTCTCCCATGTCTTGGCAAGCAGTTTGAACCGCAAGAGCGAAATGTTTGCCTCTTGCTGTGGCTGACTTCAATTGACGCAACTTGAAGCACATAATCCTGGCAGTTAAGCCCTTATGGCACTGTGGAAAACATTAAGTTAACATTGTGATTACGCACATTATGCAACAACATTATTGTTATTATAATGCAGCGCACAACGAGTTGAATGTGCATTGGACACTAGCGTCGCTTTGCAGAGCTTAGAATCAGGCTTTAAAGTCAATTTACGACCTCCTCTTTTTCTTTCTCTCTCTCTCTCTCTCTGTTCGTCTGTTAACTATCTATATAATCCATTTAATAACATTGAATATTGTGGCATAAATTGCACTTAGGCTAATAAACGGTTGGCTAATATAATAACAAAAGAAAAGCCTTGTTAATGCAGATAATATGCATCCGCATTGCACTTGGCGTAGTTATCCTTGTATTAGTTAAATATTGTTATACAACTATATATTCATGCGTACACAATATTGCACAAACTAACTAAATGGACTGCCGACACCAGATCTAAGTATTACGAAGAAAACTTACTCAAAATAAGGCTTGAGACTTGAGACTCTTGATCAATACATGCATGCATACATCAATGCATACATATATACACCAATCAATAAGCACACATCAATGCGCATTCATATACCCATCAATACATTCATACATACATAAATACGTATATAGACATTCGTCTACGTATGTATGCATACATCAATACAGACATACGTACATCAAAAATCATCAGCCTAACTCAGTTCAGAAGAATCGCTGCCTAAAATTTACATTCAAGTCAATTTTTATCTATTACTCAATCACACCCATTGAGCAGAGAGCCGACACACATACATACATATAAACGAAAGTAAAATTAAATTTTCTTACATTGAAATCCCCCTCAACTGACGAGTCCTACGCCAACTGACCGATGTAGTCATCCGTTCCAGTAACGAGAACTTTATACATATTTATGAACTGCCAAACTGGAGCTACTATGCATTTTCTGAAAATTACTTTAAAGCTGAGCGACTGTCTGTACAGACAGGAATGCTAAAGGACTCACTTATCCGTGCACACAAAACGTTTTCCGAGTTAATGCTCGTTTTTAATAAAACACAACACAATGTGGGATTTCAGTTAGAATTGTCCGGAATATACATCTTGTATTTGTATAGAACAGTTTTAGATGAAATTGAAGAAGGCATCTGGAGCTGTGGTAGCCTAGTCAGAGAAGCTATCGCTCCAGTAGGTCGTCGTCAGAGGTGCCACAGACTTGAACAGATCTCTTCCCTGGCTGGGCTGCCCTTCCGTCGATTGCCGCTTGACCCTGCCCTCCGAGTGACGATTGCATTCGGTGCTCTGATGGCGTTGCAGCCGCGTTTGAGTAAGGAACGTGAGCTGGCATCGCTTGCACTCATAGATGATGCCGTGCTCATCATGACTGAGTGCCATGTGACGCTTCAGCTCAGCTCGAAGTCGAAACACCTGGGCGCACAACTCGCAGCGGAACTGGGCTCGCTCTGATGCATGGCGTTCCATGTGGGTCTTGTAGGCGCCCCGCACCTTGAACTTCTTATTGCAGATCTGACAGTGGAACTCGTGCCGAGCATCGTGCATCTTGCGATGCATCACATAGGATTGCTTCCGGGGAAAACTCAGATCGCATTGGTCGCACTCAAAAGGTCCCTGGCTGGCAGCTGGTGAGGTTTGCAGGCTACGCTTCCGTTGATGCTCCTCGTCCTGACTGTTGGCACCAGCCGAACGTTTGGTGCCCTTCTTGCGACCACGTCGTCGGCCCGGTCTTCGCTTTTCACTAATGTCCGTGTCCGCCGAGTCGCTGTCGGCGCTGGTGGAGCCCGCCACATCGGAGACCTTGAACTCGGCATCGTCGTTCAGCTCCTCCTCATCCTCCTCGCTGGCCGAATCAGAGACAGGCGCATCGATGACCACATAGCCACGCGGCCTGCGCACTTTGTTCTTGCTTCTCGACAGACGCTTGCGCAGTTCTTTTTCGGTACTTTCCAGTTGCTGGCGCAACTTTATGGCAACGGTGAGACTTTGCAAGCAGCTGCTGCATATGAACTGCGGCATAAAGTCCTTCAGCGCTATGGAAACACTCGGACAGAGGAGCAGCAGCATGTCAACAGGCACGCTCCCCTGACTGGTCTTCGTAAAGAGACTGATTAGCTGATCTTTGCTGGTGCAGACTCGACACTGTACCTCGTCCACTTCTTCAGCCAAAGCGCCAGAGCGCGCACTGAGATTCATTTGTTCTTCCTGTGCATCGTCGCCTGTGATTAGCTCTCCCTCATCTTCGGCTTCCTCCGCCTCTTCTACCAGCTCTTCTACAACTTCATCTTCAACAGTTTCTTGCTCTTCTGGTTCTTGCTCAGCTTCATCCTCAGCATCTTCTCCAACATCGTCAACAGGGGCTTCCTTATCATCAGCCTCCGTCTCAGCTTCCGTCTCGACTGCTGATTCTGCCTCTGCCTCTCCTTCTGCTGGTATGCCTGCTGCTTCTGCGTCTACCTCTGCCTCGGCCTCTGCCTCCGTCACTGTTTCTGTGTCTGCCTCTGCTTCTTTTCGTTCGACTGTTGTTTCCTGTGATACTGTTGTTGCTGTGGCGCCTTTATCGGTTTGAACATCTGTTCCTGCTGTTAGTTCCCCCTCGCTCTCACACTCTTCATCGGGCATTTCATCTTCTAGATATTCAGCTTCACCCATTTCCTCCTCCACCTCCTTCTCGTGCTCTTCCTCTTGCTCCTCCACAGCTGCTGCCTGGCCGTCGTATTGAATCATTGCGTTGCCCTAGAAAATGTTAAGCAATATTTTTACTGCTGTGTTTCGCTCTAACAAACCCCGCCTCCCACTCTGCCCACCTCATCATCAAGTGCTTCCTCCTCTGCGGCTTTGCAGGCCTCCGCCTCCTTCTCGTTTAGCAGCGCCTCAACTTTATCTGCTGTCATGCCATTTGTGGTAGCCGCAGGCATTATTTCCTCTTCCATCTTCTATTTATTGTTTTCTGACTTTTTTGGCGCCTGAAAATTTACGCCGGCGCCGACAAAAACAAACACAATTTTCAATTTTTGTTTTTCACACGCCAATTCAAGTCTTTCTTTCCTCTACCTCGCGAGCGGTCTTTTTAATTTGTTTCGTTTTATTTTTATTAGTTGACGAAAACTTATTAAATATCTTGAGCTCTTCTTTTTATTTTACACTGCGATGCTCAACAAACATTTATAAAATTTTACAAAACAACGCCATATTGAATGAGTACACACGCAGTGAACAGCTGACTCCGGTATCGATGCTTGTGCGCATGTCAGATCAAATATCGATAACACGATAGCACCGAAGAGTGTGCAAGAGAAGCGCGCCAAATGAGATGAGATTTAAAAAGGCGAAATTCGTTGAGACAATTAAAAAGAAAGAAATATAGTAAATGAATGGAAATAAGTAAATATTTAAAAAGCGATAATAATAAATTGATTAATAATA